AAATGCACCATTAATCTATGTTTTAAAATGAAACTATTTGTAGTGGTCTTTGGAAAATTACATCTTCAGAGGGAGCAAATTGGCCCGGGGCAGAATGAGTCAGACACAGCAGGAAAGTTGGACAGTTTTGAAAGACCTATTAGCACGCTGTTGGTTTTGGTCCTTTTTGTGGAATTTGTTAATGCGAAGGGAAACGCAAACCAGTGACAGCCTTATCCTTTAAATACACATTTCCATGATTTGAACAACATCACCCATCAGTGTAAATCTATCAGGTGTCATTCTCCTCTCCTGTAAATATTTCAATCAGGTGTTTGCTTGTGTTCTGCTGTAGGCTTTCCAGCAAAGATGACACTGGCAAATATTCCCAAGAAAATGGCTTCCAGAGTAAAACAGGGCAGGCTGTAGGATGACCGTTGAAACTTCCTTGGATGAATTGTTAACTTTAATACAGAAACTTATGAATATAGTTATTCATTCAACAATCCATCTCTCATATCTAAAAGTCACAGACTATTTTACTGAAATAATGTGTCTGGGATTACAAATGAAAACCACACAGGATCATTCTTTATCCAGGAGACAGATTAAATTCCAAACCCTGTTACTGTAATAGCCACACTTGTAGCTTGCCATGAATTAGAGCTCTAATTATATTAGGTACTATTTTAAACAAAATAACACATTTCTTATGATCCATAGGTGTAATTTATAGCATAAGCCAGGTTCATTTTCTTGGGCAATCAATTTCGTGGTGTAGCAGAAGACTAATATAATTATGTAAAGTGCTGAGAGCTGAGTATCACAGTCAGCACAGAAGGTTTTTTCAAAGATAAATGAAGATGCAATTTATTCACTCATAATTTCATACAGAAAATACCAAGAAGGAAATCCATAAGAGCATCAGAAAAGGGTACAGGCACTAATACTTTTTGATATAGACTATCAGAGCATTGCAGTCAAAGGCTTGCGTAATGTATGAATTACTTCAGGTTTCCTCACATCAGTGAGCTATCTTTCACACAAGGAAGGAGGAGTAGAGCCTTTTTGGCCAAGCCCTCTAAATCATACCCGGAGGAGTGAGTCATTTATAACAGTTACAATTATATCAATATCACTAACACATAAGAGCTGCGATAAATCCACGCACATCAGTTTCTGTGACACAATGCATGATCCATGTGGGGAGGTTCCTCAGCTACTGTTATTCGTTTGGCTGCAGGTTTCTCACGGTTAATGTGTTTCATGACTCAACAGGACACAAGCTCAACACAAGAACCATGAATTAAAGTACCAGCTCTTCTCATTTTAGTGTGACATCAATTTTCACTCTTTTTATGGTCAATTTTCATCTACTGCATGCGCTTATTGAAAGAAACACACCGTAGCCCTACTGTTATGCTATGCATAACTTCACTGGAAATCCTTTTCAGTGAGCTGTACAGGCATGTTTTAGGAGTAGGAGCTGCCAGCATGAAAAAACTATTGTCAGTACTTTAGTTGCATCAGATCTGGACTGTGCAAACCAAGAACAAATATCAGTCAGTGGTTTATTAACAGACAGTATCCAGTGCTGTGTTTAGCTCTTTGGTAATGTTTTCACATTTGTTGTTCCGCGGGCATAAACAACTGCAGAACAAAAGTAGTTAAATAAAGTAGTTGTGTAGTTCATTTCCTTTGAGGAGGAGAAGTGCAGACTTTACAGGTTGCAAAATAACACCTACTTACTGTATGACCTTCCTAAGGGGGAAAAAAGTGTCTGCCTGTTTTGCTCATCCAACCACACACAGTTTGGTAGATCCCTGATGACAGCAGAGGCCATAGAAGGAAGGACTTCTGGCAGTGGTGTCCTCTGACATTCACATCCTCTGTCACTGTTTACAGATGGTCAGGGTGTGTGTGAAAGATCATCTTTCCTGCTGCCTGATGCCAAAGGCTTAGCGAACGACTCTATGAGGAAAGAAATTAAATCCTGCCTGTCGGTTTTACAATAAAAATGAGATATGATATTGCATAAAACATGCTCTGGAACAACAGGGTGGTTCTGGAGAGGTGGGAATTTCTGCAGAGCTGTTCCTGTCCTGTATTTTGTGATTAGTTTAGATAAGAGAAGAAAGGAAGTGAATGAATATTAAAAAGAACACACCCGTTCAAGTCAAACTAATCCTTTTATTTGGAGGATCTGGATTTTGTTGACATGAATTAAATTATGCTATTAAACAGTCCATGGAGCAACTGAAAACACTAAGTGTTACATAATGGCACAATCAACCTGAAACTTATGCTTCATCATCTTAAAGTAGGCATAACATTACAACATTACATTTAAACTGGTTTGTTCTTACACCAGGAAAAAAGCATAAAAAGAATGTGAATAGACATAAAAAAAACATTAACGTGAGCTTTTTTTATTTCCTTTGCTGTGCTTTGTTCTTACTGATTTCAAATTTTGTAAAGTCACAAATCTACAGCAAGACATCCTAATACTTTACAGTTGATTCTCTAATATCAGAACTAGAGCACTTTAGTCACTTTCTTAATTTTAATTTGTGGATTTAATGATAAGACAAATAAAACAGACCTTGCCCCTCATCCCCCTTTTTTAATATCACGCTCGTCAGCCAAAAATCCGTTTCAAACTAAGTACCAGCCCTGCCTTTACGACACATTTTTTAAAGCTGAAACTCATCTCCCAGGTCACTCAGCTGCTTGCTGTGAAATTCAGTCTTGATCCGATGCTCTGTAATCCACAATCAGGTGCAAACAGAGCAGCCAAGGAGTCCTTTAACAAAAGCATAAAGACATTGAAAGAAACTAGATGTCAGTACAGCTCTAATCTTAAAACAAGGGCTTCTTCTGCAGCCTTTTCCACGACTACAGCTCTCTTTTCTCTTGAACCAGCTCGGGTAACAAACAATGACCCCCCCTCCCCATACACACACATCGGGATGGAGATGAACGCTGCTCACTTACACAAAGGAGACATCGCGATATGTTATGCCAATGCCGACGTAGTAACTTTCTTTGAGATCTGATTAAATAATTGTTTCGCGTCTTTCAGTACGAATGAATTTGGGACCCTGCCTGTATAAAGAAAGGGTACCTTTTCTAGTTTACCTCAGACAGTTTGAATGAACAGCTGGATTCCTCCCTTGTTGTACAGCTCCTGATCTTCAGCAGAGACAGCATACATGAACCCCTCACCAAAAAAATGTTTTTTGCAGGATGTCCTGAATACAGATGAGTTTAAATGCTGTTAGAAGCTCTTGTTCTCATTAAAACAGTAACACTACTTCGCCATATGTAAATATTACTCTCCACTGAGAAGGCGTGGCCTGTCGGCTTTGTGTCCAATCAGGAGCGCAAAATGCGCTGCACAGCCTGCTCCAACAAATGCTTTCTTGTTTAATTAAATGTACTACTTCTCTTTTTAAGCCATCTTTTAAAAATGTATTTAATACACAGTCTATACAGGATAAAGTGCATGTGTAATTTCACCATAACCAGTTGCATGTGCTTAATTGACAATCACTGTAATGATATTTCTCCCCAACCTCACCTTTTCCTCAGTTTGCATGGACAAAATTCAAACCCAGGATTCTGTAAAACACCACCTCTCTGCACAGTTTTCTAACCATGGTTTTTTCTTCTTTGTAGGGTTACAATATCTTTTTTTATTTTTTATTTTTTTACTCGGCAGCCGCAGGCAACGGAACTGTGCCGCTGCTATTTCCAGCTGAGGTGTAACTTGCTTTTTTTTTCTTTTTCTTTTTTTTGTATGCCACAGTGCTGAATTTGATCTCAGCTACACCCGTGGTTAATTTTCAAAGTCAGGGGCATTATGACGTGGATAAAATCTAAAACACAATTTGCTCCATTTGTTGCCTCGTAAATTAGATTTTAACTTGCATTATTTCCAAGCTGGAGGATGCAGATTTCCACTTAGCCTCACAAGTTAGCCAAAACAGTGGGGAAACGGTCCTCTACTTATTCAGCTGTGTTTTTGTTTTTAATTTAAATATTTATTTATATGACCATTATTTCACTTACTTGCATGTAAATAATGAAATTGTATTTTCATTGGAACTTAAAATTGCCCGAAAATCCCAGGAAAACAATTAATATTACCTTCTTCGGTGCTAAAGTTGTTTTTTTTATGAGAACTATTTTAAGCTCCATAAATTACATGTGAGGTGCAGAAAGAGGGAGGTGGCGGTGGTGGGGGGAACCCACCCAGGGTTAAAATGGCCGCCATCCACGGAATACTGATGATTTGTGTTGCAGTAGCTCAGAGACAAAATGCAAGATGGATTTGTTTGTGGCACAGCACGGACTGAACGTACAAACGCCGCCGTTAATATAACCGTGAATCACGCTCAGTTCAGCGGCTGATGTTTGTGAAACTTCTGGGGTGGGGGCTCACTCTGAATTAGAGCCACAGTGAATTAAAGCCACTGATGATTTCTGTGACAAGAGTTTCATTTTCCTTCATGCGCTCTTAAATCCAGGGATATATCATCTTGGAAAATGTGAACACAGATTCCAACTGCCACAGCCCCCCCCC